GTGTCGTCATCGTCGTCGTCGCTCTCCTCGCCGTCTCTGCGCGCAATGTGAGGACAGTAATACTGCACGGTGAATCTCAAGACTGACCTGCCGCCACTATACTCCTCGTCGGACTCTTCACCCTCGTCACGCGTCGCCGCGCGGACGTCGAGCACAAATGCACCCGCACCGCCCTTCTCGCCGGCATTCTGTATACTTGTCTCACGGCCGCCATTCTTGCTAGCCTCGTTCGCAGCTTTGATGGTGGCCCCATTCGACTGCACGCTCGCTTGTAGGCGGTCAAGCCACGCGAGTATGTTCTTGTTGTTCGAGTCTGATGGGGACGTCGCCATGCGGTAAGATGCGATCGATAGCGGTGTGGCGATGTATGGGTTGTGCAGCTGAGAGGAACATGATAAGCGCTATGTAGATGGAGACAGAGAGGCAGGTGAATGGGCGGCAGATGTCGTATGCGAAGTGCGTACGAATGTGAGAGTCGAAGGGTGGACACCGAAAATGGTTTGGGTGCGAAGCGTATGCCGGAGGGCTAGACATGCCGAAAAGAGGTTGTGGCGCACCTGCTTCAACAACGACTCGATGATGGCGTCCTTCTGTCGAATTTGAGCGAGCAGATACTCGCGTTTGCTGTGGCAAAAAGGTGAGTCCGAGTCCATAGCGATGTGCGATGCGTGAAAGCAAAAGATCCGAAGGACGAAGAACAAACAGAAGCCCAAATTAGCCCCAATGGAAGAGGAGAGGCCGTGCAAAACGCCCCCAGCTACCTCAGCCATATAAAGCCCCGCAGGTACACCTTGCTTCTCGGGAACACCACAGGTAGGGCGGAACGTGGCAATCCCGCAGCCGCCGGAAACTGAACATCTCCACACGAGGCCTGTTTCTGTGTGGTATCCGTTCTTCCGACTGTGCGTCTGAGGCCTTGAGCCGGTACACCGCCGGCCACAGCACAAGGCCAATGTGGGCGCGCTCTCCGGTGATCCACCATCACCACCTTTGCGTCGCCGGGATGCCCGACCGCGCAACGCGTCTCCAGTACCCCGACCGGCACAGATGCACGCCGACTCCAGTGAGCAAGCATCGCCCCTCGGATTAGACAGTACCAGGCGGTCATGCCTGGCGGTGCAACACAACTGGGGGGCGTGGGGTGCGAAACCAGGGCGCGGCGTAAGACAACCACACAGCCTTCCGACGATACGACGAAAGCAGCACCGCATTACGGAGCTCAGAAACAGCACAGCTTCACGGCGATACCGAGAAGTCGAATGGCTAGCGGAGGTTGAACGTTGACCGTTGGTCAATTGAGAGGGTGAACGTGGGGAAGGGATCGTGGGAAAGACTCGGCAGTGTGCGAATACGAACAGTCATGTGATTCAGAGCAGGTCATGGCCAATCGCCGGAGATTGGCGCCGACGACGATGGACGGAGATGAACACGCCGACGTCGAGAAATGCCGACGTGAGGTGCGCAGCAGAGAAAAGGAATACAAAGGCGAAGGAAGCGAGAACGGGCAGGATATAAAAACGGACCAGCGCAAACGAGATAAAGTCGAGAGCTCACTCACTTCGGTGCAGTTCGTGGCTTGCGCCCCTCGACGATGCAGACATGCCCGCCCGACTGGCAGCGCTTGCATGTGTTCTCGTTCTTCTTGAACTCGCACTTCATCTAGACATCGCTCATCAGCTTCGTGAACGACGACTGCGATTCAGGACGCGCCCACGCACCTTGAGCTTCTTGCAGTGGGTACATGCGCCCGGACTGCCAGCACATCGTCGTAAGGTATCGTAGAGCGCGGGTCGCAGAGGCAAGCAGGGCACCGGATGGTTCATCGCCGGTATGAGCGCCAAGGGTTCACATCACCGGAAGGTGGCAGGCCGGTAGACGATAGTGCGATATCGAGGTTCCAGATGTGCAACGTGACCACGAAAACACACAGAACAGGAGGATTCGGAGAAACAGATGTGGGTGAGCGGCGCAACATAAAAGCAGGACGCTGGCACTCACAGACGGCTCGAGTTCTGCCTCTGCCCCTTCACGCCAAGACCGCCCATGCCAACGCTTATCCCGCCAGTGAAGGCGGGGCGCTCGCCAAAATCGTCGTCGCTATCGCTATCACTCTCCACAGAATTGCCAGCGCGCTCGGGCGTCTTGCGGGCGCGCTTGCGCTTGTTCGGCTGAGCGGGGGGCGCGGCGCCTCGTGCGCCAGTGACGGGCCCGGTGACGTTGGCGGGCGCGTGGCCCGCGGAGACTGTGCGGCCCATGGGCGGACCTCGAAAAGCGGCGTCAGCGTCGGCCCAAGAGGTGGGGCTGGGGACGGCGGAGGCGCTGGCGCTCAGGGCATGGTAGTCCTGGGCAGGAAATTGGTTGCCGAAGGGCTGCGCAACATCGGTGGGGAAGAAAGGGAACATGTCGGATGGCGGGGGCTGCGAGCGTGTCTGCTGATGAGAGGGAAGAGGCTGCTGAGGGTAGCCCGCTGAAGGGTAATGTCCGAGGGAACCCGTGCTGCCCGGTGATGCGTCAACGCCGTAGCCTGGGACGCCATACGTGTGCTGTTGTTGGTAAGCGAGTTCGCGCGGTGATGGCTGCTGCTGGCGCTGTTGCTGGTGGTGGTGCCTATGCTGCAGCTGTTGCGGAAGCTGGTGAAGGTCTTCCTGCGGTCGGCCGTATGAGTCGATCCAGTGCTGGTAGTTGTGGACCTGCGCATGCTGCTGAGCGGCCTCTGGATCGTAGTAGGAGGGCCCGGGGCCGATCATGGAGGACGATGTCAAGAGATGGGCGGGAGCAGAGTCAGTGGTGGTTTTAGAGGAAGATGCAGAAGATATAGTAGTAGGCTGGCTGGGGTCCTGGGCCGAGAAGAGCCATGTGTTGGTGCGCGGAGATGGCAAATTCCGGTCAGCGCTGCCTGTCGCACCATCAGCGGGGTTCAGTTGGCTAGTTCGGAAGCAAAAGGTACGAGGACGCACCTCCGTGGCCTGCGCCGCTGTGGCTGTCTGCCCGCATTTCGTTTCCCCCGCTTCGCTGCATCGCGCGATTGTCCTCGGGCAAAAGGGTGGGCGTCGCGGTCGTTGCGCTCGCGCGTAATAGTTCTCAGAGCAATCAAAGCCAAAGTCGCATGTGCGTCCGGCTGTTTCAATGCACCGGACGTGGACCTTGCGGGCAGATCTGCGGTGGGCGACGTCCTGGTGTCTGTCAAGGACGGCGAGAACGTTGAGCAGCAGGAAACCCGCGGCGTCGAAGCGAGCAGCAGTGAGCGCGGAGGAAAACCTGGGTGGGCGCCCCTATGTATATATGCTGATCAAATGAACCCGCTTGCCCAATTCGGACTTTGCTTTCTTTTGTCACCTTTTACGGCTTCCATCCCAGTTCTGTGGCGCAAACACCCCTAGGCGCTCGTTGTGTTTGCTCGTCCGGCTGTTTGAAGTCCGAAAAGTATATCGGCACACCTCGTCATACGAAGGTCAACTCAGATCTCCTACTGGACAGTAGGCCCTTCATCGAGCCGGCAGCGCTACACTGCAAGCCCACCGCACGCCCACCGCATGCTTTGCGCGCTTCTACGGACGGTACACTGGTGCTTGACACGTTTAGTGTCCACATCTTGGGCCTTCCTTGTTAGCAGAATCTCTTGTCTCGTCGGCAGCCAGACGACTCCGCGGTCTTCGTGGTCGTTCGTCCATGCTTCCTTCATCTTACGAACGTCTGTTGTACTCCGGCTGCCGGCCATGCAGTGGGCGGAAGAGTGGCAAGCAGCATGGTCAGCCTCACTTGATCCCGACCGACTTCGACTCAAGACCCAGCGCTAGGATCAGTAACGAACCTAATGTCGATCAGGCTGCCTCTCGCTCTCACGCGGCAGCTGCCTCTCTATCGAACCCGATCTTCAAGGAAACGTATATGGTGCCGATCGACTCGTCCAGTGATCCTCTGTATAACCTTGCCTTATCCCGTGCTTTTCGTGGGTGCACCGCTCACCTGCGGAAGTGCCTTGGTGCGAGGCGCAATGCTACTATCATTCCCACCCATGTTGTTGGGAATGTCCTTCACTGCCGAAAGCGGTCCTTGATTCTCATACTTAATGCTTCTAGTTTCGCCGATCGTCTCCCACACCCCTCTCACCGCCTCCACCGCTCGACCTAACGCAGCGCCTTCGCCCCCCTCGGCGTATCGTACTCAGCCTGGCTTTGTTACAGCTCTGGTCAATGATCGCGATATATCCGTTGCATCGGAGCCCGATTCTATCGAGATACGTATCGTATATGGCGCCCGTCGTTCTTCTCGCGCCAGCGGCCTTCCTCCTGACCTGCGGTTTCCGTATCGTATGAACGTTCTATGAGCTTGTCTCCCAGCCTCCCACGACGGAATCTCACTCTGTGCGCCCCGTTTTGCCTCGCCTAACTTCATATAGCCATCCCTCAACTTCATCTCACCTCTCTTCGACCGCGCAATGCCCACATTCATCGCTGTCTCTACCACGTTCTCTCACATGGCCGCAATCCCTGTCCTCACCTTCATATCCCCACCGCGTCAGTGTACTGCGCCCATCATCAGTATATTTCCCATGTCCCGTCATGCTCGTCCATAGCGTCTATCCGCTCGTCTATGTTTGTATGTTTCTATCTCAGATGTTTGCCTTCTATCGCCCGATGTTATCACCGGCGGCCAGTTCCCTCCGTTCTTGCATTACATAGATAGTCCTGTCGCACGTCTTGCAATCGCAATTCATCCTGTTTCACGCGTCAGTCAACCAGCTTCGTCCACATAATACGTGTGATGGAGGGTGACTACAATAGCCACGTACCTCTTGAAGCTTGAAGCCTCGATGTTACTCTGCACCTCGTCGTGATCGCGTAGCCACATTCGGGCTCATACTAGAGACTGTAACCACATTTGTACTGTCTACCGCCGACTCCCAGGATGCGCTTGTTTCTTCATCTTTGCAGCGGTGATATACTCAGATATTGCGCTTGCGTCGCCGAGAAAAGAGCAAAAGCTCTGCACCTTACAGGTCCCCGGTAGTATATCGGTTAGTACACCCGCCTGTCATTTCCCTGAGGGCCCGCGGGAGAGCGGGGTTCGACTCCCCGCCGAGGAGCTTTTTACGGCGTAATTTCAATGTTCAGAGCCATCGCAAGCTCCAAACGCGAGCGCCTTGCACTTGTTCTCGTCCAAAAAGACGAAGTTCAACTGATGTCACAGTATTGATCGATCTGTCACGAGTTTGATCGGAGAGTCACGTGACTGTGACACACGCGTCTTATTTCGACGCGTCTCCTTTCATTTTGTCTTCGACGGTCATCTTGTCGACCAGCTGCTCACCCGCGTCTATCCCGACCTTCAACGCTCTAGGTCTCTTGCTCCCGCGCGTTGCTGCACTACAGTCGCTGCTCAAACCCTTGCCTTCGGCCGACACGATGCATTCCCCACCCGGAATCACATCTAACCCTAAGAGCACTTGGCCGTGTGCACCCTCCTTTGTGTCCCGCCCGCTCCCGCCTCGTCTCGGACCGCATCACCATGTACACCAGTGACAGTGCAATATCGTCCGGCGAAGCGCCGCCAGCCTCCTCCCCCATCGCGTCTCCGGCACGTGGCGGTTTCTGGGAGCCCGCGATTCCGTTGCAGTCGGCCCGCACAAACTACGGCCTGTGTCGTGTCTCGCCCTTCTACGTCGGTGCTCTGCGCTGGCGGAGGGCGCGCACGACGCCGGAAATGCCAGTGGTCCTGTCGGCTGCTCGGTCCGCGTGGAAGCCGCAACTAGAGACACGTCCTCATGGGGCGACGTTGGCGCGCGTGGAGGACTCTCGCACAGCGCACGCTGGATGCTGGTGACCGGACTCCGTACGGCGCTTGCGCCTCTTTCGTCCGGCTAGCGTGTTATGATGACGAACGCGGGTGCGGGCACATGAGATACTACACACAGGGTGCCATCGGCCTGGTCTTCGGACCCTCCAGGACGTCCGCGCAGGCGGGCGTCCAAACGGTGAAATTTGGGGAGTCGATCGCCGTAAGCGCCTAGCGCTTCAGAACCCTCTGGCCTCGCGGGGGTGCGGGTGCGACGAGCGGTGCAGATCACAGCGCGCGGGATACGAACAGGAAATCACAGGACAGCGCGCGGCGTTGTGGACCAACCGGCGACACGACAGCCTCGAAATGCCGCGGCAACGGCGCGCGGCCTCGCACGCTTTCCTTGGTGCGCCAGCTCGCCCCCAACTGAAGTGACCGTCCTACAGGACGGCCCCTGCGGCACTGCCGCGCGTTAGTAGCTTACCTCCGCGTCGCATCACGGGGCTCGGACGACCTCGCTGTCCACCGTAGCCCAGTCGCGCGCGCGGTCTTTGCCCGCCTATCCCTCGTGTACCACCCGACTCACAGCACAGAACCGGCCAAGACCCCGACCGCACACACGGAGGCTCTGCGCTTGCGCCTCCCGCAACCGCGGGCCTGTTTGACGCCTCGCACGTTCGTCCGCTTTGAGGACCTGGCGCGCTCAATCTGCCACCTAGCGCCTCCTGCCCGCGCGTCCGCTGCGTCGTAAGCTGCGGCACCTGCGGGACAAAAGCGTTCTTTGGGGCGTGGCCGCAGCAGAGCTTGGCGCTCGAGTGCGTCGCAGCGGGGCATCCGTGGGCGGGGAGCCAATATGGGTGGCAACAGCACGTCAGCGAGGAGCGGATGGATGTGTGAGGCTGCGGTCCGTGGTACGTACAGGGAGGGTGGCACGGGTGCTACCGTACGTCGTGGAAAGGTGAGCTGGGTGCTCGAGCGGGCGGTTTCGCGCTGAAGGGGACCGGTGGATCGCGCGTGTGGCTGCATGCCGGTTGGCATACAGGCGAGGCACGGCAGATGGGTTCCATGGTGCGGCGTGGGTGAAAGGCGCGCTGCTAACTAGAGGAGGCTGGCTTAAGGGCCGGCTGCGGATGCTGGCTGTCATGGCCGGCTGAAGCGGCTGGCTATGGTGGCCAGGCAAGTCTAGTCGATGCGGCGCGTTGACTAGCGGGAGCAGAGGTAGGGGAGCGCGCGCGGTGGATAGTGTCGCAGCGGGGGAAGCTGCATGCTTCGAGAGTGACTGGTGCCGCTTCGGCGGGGAAGGCCTCTGCGAGGTCGCAATTTTTGGGCAACCCATCTCTCACCTTCTGGTGAAGATGACATACGTGACCGAGTTACGACTATATCGAGTTTACCCGCACAATCATTTGTATGCTTTTGTAGACTACACAGGACAATATCCACGACATAAGAAAATACAAAATGAGCAGTACATGTACGATGCGGAAGTGGCACAACGCAGTATGAAGCTCAAGACCAAAGCAAGCCCGGCCTGACCTGTGCGCAACGACGCGCAGGAAGAAATCGAAATGTGCATAATGATGTAACGACAAACAAGGACGCTTAGAGTCCGCAGCTGCAGATCCTGTTCTGGGTGTCTGTATGCGCGAGTCAGCGCCATGAAGAGAAAATACTGAAAAATCGATCTCCCTCAAACGAGGACCGCGACACGTTCGCGTATTCACTTCGCGTCGTAATGATCTCGAAGACCTTCGGCCATGAATTTCTTGGGCTGCTTTCACGGATGGCACAGCGGACATACGACCTTGTCTCGCGCGTCGAGGACATCGCCCTCCGGGTACATGTACAGATTGCCTGTAGACGCACGGGCGGCTTCGTCGACGATGACCGGGTATGCGCGCGCGCAGGCTAGCGAGCAGCGATGATATGTCAGAAGAAAAAACAGGTGCAAGGAAGAGAGGCTACAAGCGCAGTCAATGCCTTCGAGACCGCGGCGGAAGGCGTCGAACAGGCAAGGCACACGTGGGTGTACGCATGAACGACCGTGAGCGACGGTGGCGCGCACGGACTCTTATCATTTCCTACTCACGCAAGAACTCGCTCATGCTGGGTGACGAATGAGGACAGCAGCTAGGGTCAAGGAGAAGCATCTCACATCGCCATATTCATCGCGTGGGCTTCGCGCCACCTAGCCGCAAACTTCTTCGCGAGGATATGGCGTTCGCAAGGCGTTCAAGTTGAGTGGGCTTGTTGCGGCCAGACCCTTTCGATGCGACAGGATCCACGTCGCGCACGTCAAGCAGACTGAGCATCCGGTATATTATCTTGCGAGACATATTGAAGGCGGAGGACGTGTGCAAAGTATCTCGGAAGAGCGCCAAAACAAGGTAGGAGAGAAGAAGGCGGACCGGGCCGACCCAAGGCAAAGGCCACCTGTTGGGGGTACTCGCTCCGCGTCCACTCTCGCTTAACCTCGCGAAAGCGGGGGTAAACTCCTCCCTGCCGCGACTTCTGCTGCTTGATCCCGCGACCGCGTTACGCTGAGTTGCATCCTTCGGTTCTGATTATACGTTGGCCCCAGAGGGCTCCCTGTCTGTATATGCACGTCCTTTTCCTGCGCAGAAGGGCAGAACACAGCCATCAGTAGAGCATTCGGTGCAGTCGTCGTGAAAAGAGAGCCTCTGAAAGAAGTGAAACCTATTGCGGATGGCAGGATTCAGCGTTAGCTCGCAAATAGTCCGAAGGAATGCATAAACAATCTCGATTATTGGGCATCAATCAATGACGATATACTAGGTGGTCACCTGCGTACTATTGACGACTTGTCGGCAGGGTTTTGGCGGTGAAAGTTCACGGACCACAGGAGCCCTGCGGGCGCCAGTCCGTGAGAATAGGGCTGCATATCGGAGCTGTGTGCGCAGACCCGCATGGCGCATCGACGAGAGGCGGTTCCACGTATAGCCGTCGCTTGAGCGGTAGAAGCTAGTGCAGTGTGGAGTACTGTGCGCCGTCTGATGGAAGAACGAGGGAGAGCGGTGTCCGGGTACTAGCAACCCGCAGTACCTAGTGCAAGCTTGTGGGCTGTTCATGTTCGTTCTTCGCTAGTTGGCGTTGGCTACAAGATCTGCATGAGCGTGGTGTAAGTCCAGATTTGAGAACGAGTGGGAAACGCACCGCGCAAATACAAGCTCCCCAGTCGTGCAGCGAGCTCCATGTTACTAGATCCCACGCCTGCTCGCTTGGCAACAGTCTCCGCCGGTCCATGCGCAAGTCCAGTGGAAAGAACAATTAGATACGGCGATTGTGTTTTTCTCGTGAGAGCTGGGCTAGTCACTGCTGGGTCGAAATCGGTACGCGATGACACGTAAGAGGGCGGTGCCGCCGGTGCAGGGTCCCGCAAACCCACGGCCAGTGGGAAGCGTTGCTAAGCGCAGACGGGCAGAGCCGGGCGATTTCAAGAAGAATTGCCAGTTCGACGGGGATAAGACCCAGGTGACAAGTGCCAAGTGGGCACTCGAAGGAGGCCGCGGCGTCGATCTGACGGGTATCTTCGTGCTGCAGAGCAAAGCCGATCTGAAGGGCAGAGATGGAGGTAGGAGGCAAGACAGATTTTTTCGCCAGCAAGAACGTCGCTTGGGCTTTGCTTGCATGCCGCTTGGTCGTCCGAGATGAGCGCAAAAGTCACAACTGGTGATGCGTGACGAGCGGCACCAGATGGGCACGCGGCGCCGCACGCGACACTTTTGGTTCCGCAAAGCCGATTCCCCTTCTGGAATTTTGAACCTAATGTGGACCTCCATGTGCCGGCAACTGACTTCTTTGTGCGCTCCGACCAGTCACAGCGGCATCCCGCACGCGGGTCTATTGTCTTTGTGCCCTCATATATCCAAATTGCACCGGCCACTCGGGTCCGGGGATTGTATAAAAACAAGCGCGAAGTCGTCCAGTTGCTCAGCATCCTTTCTTCCTTTTCCCCCACTTCAGGTGAAGCCTGTTGGATCTCTCCGCCCATACATTGCTCGGCGTCTCTCTCCCCTATCCTCCTCCTGATTTTCTGTCCGCTCCTCATCGGCCCATCTACATTCTGCCTCACTCTTCACCCCGCCGCCTTCTCTGCCACCGTACCGGCATGGTTTCTCGTCACCGTCCCCGCACCTCATCCCCGTTCCCTTCCGTCAGAGTGACCGTCGGAGTGATTATTTCCCGAGTCTCTGCGCATTTGGCCTTGAGAGTTTCGGATGCTGAGTTCTCCTTATCGACGGTTTACATGCGTGCCACAAACCTTGGCCTGGCGTCATCTACTCCCCT